CCAGGCATTGGTCTAGTAGACATTGTCTACATTACCAACGAGCCGACGCGGCATTAACCGACCTAATCAATGACCTTGTAGTCGTCTTTCCTCAGTTCTGACTTCGGAACGCGACATAGGGAGTCGGTAGGCCGAGTAAAGAGGGGCCTCGCGTTAGCTGACGTGAATGACCGTGATGCCACTGACAGTCACATTGGCTGTGACGTGGAAATCGAACGCCCACTGCATCATAGGAGACCAGTGACACGTGAATTGCACGCGTCAGATGTTACAGTTCGGCGACTTGGTCTCCCTGAATCTGACCAAGGAGGCATTTGGGAGCGCCATTGGAATTGGTTTAACTCGTCAGAATCACCCAAGCACATCATGCCTCCAGATTATGATGTCTTCAGCAGGAAGACACCAGAGATTACATCTTTACATCGCTACCGCGGCATGGCCTCTATCATCGTCGGTCATTCTACGACCGCTCTCTAAGAAGACCTCCAGCTGGACCCACCATTCTAGTAGCATGGCCCTACATATAACGTTCTGATTCTGAACTTTCGAATTTCAGAAGAATTCTATACGGCGAAACATTCGTTCCATCGAGAGATTTTCTATTCGGCCAACGAGCCCGCTATCCGCGGATAAGGATTCATCTTACACATTGGCCCTTCTCGAGTTCATCACGAGTGCATCATATTCCCGAACAAGGAACTTATTTTATCCGCCAAAGTTCAACGACGAGCTTCAAGTGGAGACTGAATCTCTGAGATTCCGATTTCAGTGATTTTCTTACGAATAGGCCCCTAATTTCATGTCCAGAGAAGTTGACTTCGCTGATAAGAACATCGTCTGCGACAGCTTTTGGTGACCAACAACATACCTTTCATGCTTCCATACCTTCCATAGGTTTCGTATTTGTCATTACATCGAGCCTACACTATCGTGCAACCGCAGTCGAACTTTCAGACAGAATATCCGCAAACTACGTGCGATTATTGGACAATATCAAGCCCAGTCGACGGGAATTTTTTTTCGAGGTGGGAACTCCCTACTCTTCAGACCGCCTGAATCAGGACTGCAGTCAATGACAGCCTGTCATCTAGAGGTTCTACTACGCTGTGGCCCAAACGGTGCTATACAACATTTTCTTGGCTTTCCCGAAGTCGCGGATGAGATTCAGCAACGAATTCAGGAAGTCCCTTGTTTTGCTCGTGATGCACTATAAACAGCGTCTTCCGCTCTTCACCCCACGGCTAGGTGCCGTTCCTGAGTTCCCTGACACCTCCCGTTGAAAGCTCGAAGCATCAAGCTCCATCTCAGCGGTGGCGACGTATTAGCGATGGTGGCTGGAAGGAGAAGCTGCAACGGCAGTCTCTCTCAAATTGAGAGTCTCAATTAGTACTGAAGGAGCTATCCCTGTCGCTGAGCAGAGGTCCCCATCCTCCAAGTGAATTCCCGTGAATTTGACGAGCTCCCGCCGAAATCGCAGGCAAGCGCCAGCCCTCTGTGCTGTCGAATCGAAGAGTGTCAATTTGTCTTAATCGCTCATTAGAACGTCGTTAGAGATAAAGTCTATGCAGCGCTGAGCCCTCAGGGCTCAGCGGAAAGTGCGCTCTCCTCTGAATAAGAGCAAGCCAGATATGCTGAGTTCCGGCCGCTGAAGACCATGCAACCTTCGAATTTGAGAGATCGCCTCTCTCAGGAGCTAATGCGCGCCGACGGTACACACGGTGTGACTCGCACTGCGAGTCTTAACAGAGCAGAGCTACAGTGCCAATTTGATATGCAAATGCGATTATTGTGCGTTTTTCTTGAAATTAATGATATTCGCAGATTGATCTCAAGTACAGTCATAGGGCCAGGCTGGCCCGGCCAGCCAGAGTCCCTGCGGGTGTTAGACTCAACTCCAAAGCGTGAGTTGTCGCAGTCCAACACCCTTCAGGATAGTAGTATTCAGATACTGTATATGAGATACGACGACCTCCCCACAGATGCCTTCCTTCCCTGGTACCGCTCACAGCCATTAGGTCGTAGGAAAAGTTGGTTTCCATGCAAGACAATGCGCCGTCACACGCCAGCCATCTTATTAGTGATTTTTTTGGTAAGAAGGGCTACAAAGATGATCGTTTGATGACTAGGCCGAGCAATAGTTCCGTTATAAATCCAATACAGAACTATTGGTGGGCTCTAAAGAGGTAAAGATCATCAATATACATCATCAAAGCATTGCCGCACGCTCGTAGACATCTTTGTGTCACATCATACTGTCGCCTACCCACACAAATTGTGTGGGTAGGCGACAGTATGATAGCTTGGAGAGCCTATGGGCTGGCATACAACTTGTATGATACAAGATGCAGCTCGTCGCATCACGAGTTCAGAAGTCGAAAAGTTGACTCAATCCACGAATCTTCGGGTAGAAAAGATCCTGACAACTAAGGGAGGACATATCGATATGTAGACGCCTGAGTTCCATGTGTTTTGATTGAGCTTTGGTTATCTGTATAACACAACCCGAACATACATCACGGGACTGAAGACCCGAAACTTAGAGGAAGGTTATAGCTCATAACTCTGTCGGATCGAAACCGAGCACGTCAAGCGAGCTCGAACCGCGGTGAGGAGACGGCAACCGCAGGGAGCTAATCGATCCGGCCCGAAAGGGCGCCTTGACGGCCGCACGCGCCAGGTGTCTATCGTCACTGGTACGAATGCCGCAGTCGTGGCCATACAACTCTAACATAGTTGTTCATTTAACGGGCCGGACTAATTCATCGTGTGGTACTCAGTAGCTACTACTGTGCATCGATGCTAACCTAACCAAACCGCATAGTCGGGGGCAGACCTTAGACTTTACCGTGAGCATGTCGCAATCCGCAGTCCGCGGAACTTGGCTGACGGAGGGTTCTGCTACAAAACCACAGAATTTTGTATTATTCGACTTTCGCGCCAATCCAGTGTCAATCAGCAGCCACTTGAGGCTTTGCGCCCAGATAGCCATTGGAGCAAGTCTGCCGCTACTCCGGCCTCATGGATCCGTCATGGGGAGCAAGTACCGAAGAGGGTGCAGACACGCACCGTGCGTGAAGCACGCATTATCGGCAAACTCACTGAGCGTCACTCAGATTCTGTGTACCTGAGTGCCTTTCTCTCATCGGTACTTCTAGGGTCGGTTCCTACAGAGCCACCCTACCAGACCCACGCGACCGGGAGTGGGATATTTAATGAGCCTCATAGTCTTCTACATGTTGCTCTATGACCCTCTCTGGGTCTTGATCCATTATCAGCTCCTTCTCATTTGTCACGTCTTGGTCTAGCGGCCCACCTGACAGAATACTGTCCTGTTTGAACGTCAACCTTGTTCAAAGTTAAATCCTAAATATGTGGCAGGCACATCCATAGTTAGTACTACCGATCTTGAAAGAGGCTCATCCCTCCTACGCAGTCTTCTTCGACACTTGAGTGTCTCTTTACTAGAGTATCGAGCCGCTCCTACGCTACGGAATCTGTAGTCCGAATCGACTCGCGACCACGATTGAAATCGTTAATCAATATAGTAATACTCGGTCGCCGAACAAATTGACAATTTTGGAACAATACAAATCGCTGGGAGTACGCGAAACATTGGGACATTGAGGGCTCTGCGACTCCTCAGCGGAGAGTCCGTTTCTCCACTGAGGAGTTGTGCAATTTACACTGTGCAATTCGGAATAGAATCTGTTTAATAGATGTCGGTTCAGAGGAAGGCTTCCTCAGGAAGCTGTTGGGTCACCCCGCCGGGGTGGTTATGGTAAGTGTGTGAGTTCGATAGTAAACTAACAGGTACCTTCACGGGAGGGGGAGTTTGATTGGGGAGAAACTTGCCTGGCATTAGGAAGCGCAATATTCCCCGGTCCTGTTAGCTTGAGAAAGACAACAACTTCAATTAACTTAGTTAATTAAGTTAACATTGCTAGCAAGACAACAACTTATTCCTGAGCGCAGATCTCGTCAATCTCCTCCACGAGTTGTCCGCTACAGTGTAACGCACTGAGTGCGTTACACACTGTGCGTAAGCCATGTATTGATGAGCACCACCTCTGAGGTGGCATCTCAGTGAGCTGGCTTCACTTCGATCATGGATAAACTAGGGCGGCTTGCTAGGAAGTTCCTAGTAGGAACTGGTCAAGGAGCGCGTGCCTAACGCGCAAAAAAAATCAATTGCATGCAATTACAATTTAAACTCCCTAGCAGCGTAGAGTGGAGAACGTTTAGTCTTACAGACTTTGGAACTCGACACCACGCTAGTTGAATATCAAATTAGGGTCTTCAAGTGTAGAGAAGATAGTGAGTGTAGCTGAAGAGTAGAGGGGGTTTGTCCACATCGCAGTGCTCGTCAGTTGAGGAAATAGCCTACAACCGGCAAGTGCACAGCCGGCAAGTGCTCAGTCACTATAAGAACTACCTAGGCGGTACTATAGTGCTCCGCTACTCAAGCAAAGAAATATGTATATCACTATCAATATTTGGTCTTAATAATATCCACAATAGCTTTACTAGCTCAAATTGTGCGACTCATCGCGCCACTCAGCTATTGTGTTTTCCATTCAGTCCAGTTGTGTGGCTTGTCGCCCATACTTTTGCCGCTTGGCTCGTTTAAACGCCACTTCTGCTATGCAGAGCTCAACTGCAATTTCAGCAATTGCACAGATGTAGGATCGCAATTGTAATTTGTACAAACCCTAGTTTCCACAGGATTGCAAACGTCAGAACACGTCCTGAATACGGGCGTGCTACGAATAGGATCGCTCCTGTTGGGTTCAGCGAGATCTCCGCGCAAACCTATTGGCGTGCACCAGCTTAAAGCACAATCGTGACGACGTCTGCATACCCAGGCAATGACGTAAGGCATCGCCATGCCGCACGCTTGCATGATGCAAGCACGCATCGATGCAAGTTGCATCGACGTGAGAAACGAATAATATTATTATAATATGTCCAAAACAACGACATATGGTGACGTGTATTGCCATATTACGGCTAATTTGTATTAACCGAAACTATGAGTCACATAATATGACTCACATTGGCGAGTCGGACGATCGAATGAGTTGTCGCGTCGATGCGAAAGATGGGCCCATCGAACACTGATTAACACACAAAACGAATGACATCCATTAGAAACGTTGAAAGCCTGCTCCTCCATTTAGCCGGCAACCTGCACAAGAACCGTGCACTAGCTGCAGTAATCGACTTTTCAATTTCACAAAAATTTGAGAGCTTCAACCGTGCCCGATAAACAAGGCAACGCAATGATGACACATTATTGATGAGTAGAAACTGCTAGTATAGAAGTCTGCCTCTCTTTAGCTCAATGCACCCTCGACATCGCTTCTGAGGGGACTTCAACATTTCGCGGCATTGGTTCCGTCCCAGTTCGTTCACAGCAAACACCTCCCTAGATCGTAACTCATCGTCGTTCTACGGACGGACTCCATTGATGGCCTTTCTCTTGACCTTCAGGAGAAGTTCTCGAGAAAGCACATATATGAGTCGTGAGCCGGGATGGTTGTATGATTTTCGTAACGAGTCCACATTTCTACGGTTAAATTGAGCCTCCTATTGCGGTTTCTCGTCCGAGCCAGATGGCTCGCGCAAACCGCTCCCATTCCCCCTCACGAAATTTCCTTTGAGGAATAGACCCTCTATTCGCGGACCGCTAATATCCGCCACTAGTGCCTCACTAGAGAGGTTTGAAATAGTGCGTCTGATGGGGCATACTATATGTGACTTGATTACTGATGAGCGAATGAAACTTCCGGACTGAGAACAACTTTCTTACTCTTCTAGCAGCAGGAAGATCTTGGCAGAAAGCGTCGCGCAAATGTCAAATATACTGCTACCGTAACAGACACAAATCCCGTGCTTCTTTCACTTTTCACGCTGCGCGCCACTGGTGACACGGTTCGTGCGCTTGAGCGGCACAATCTCTTACACGGTCTGTTTTCGGTGATTCACTTGTCTGCTTCACTAACTTCCAATCCCGGTCGTACGTAGTCTAGCCCCAGCTTTCCCTCCATCTTGACTGTTTGTTAAATAAACTTTAGTTATTGACGGCGGCTTGTGAGCGGCTCTGCCAATTTGCGATCTTCACGATGCGATCTTCTAACAACGCGGGAGTTCGCTACTGAAACTACCGCTAAGATGTATTAGAAATCAAGCCAGATGAAAAGTTGTGTGTGTGTGTGTGTGGAAAAAGCTTCCAAGCTGCACTAGCCCCCGATACGGCCCACCATCGTGGATTTTCTCAATGCAACCGCTCCAGCTCAGCTGGACCAGCTGTATCGACTCTTCTGGACCTGATGGTGATACATCAATACTTCGCGTCACTACACCGCAGCCCGGTTGCCGTACCTCACACCACATGGGTGGTTTCTTCTGTCAAGGTAGTTCCGTCCCTTATAGTTCAGCTCTAATCAGAGAAAATCAACGGGATGTATCCAGCAATCGTTTCGACTCAAATGAGACCGTTAGATCGCACTGTATAGAAGGCGATATTATATATCAAGGTATGAGGCGAGCGAGAATACAAGTAGCGCTGTCCCTATTGGGACAGTACACTAATTTGGTGAACGTGCGCCCAAGCCGTGAAACAAAAACGTGCCCCTCGGCTACGTTGAGATCAAAACTATCGACCGGAATGCGTTCTCCTATGCCCGTCCGACTGCTCGCCTTGGTTTATGTATTTGACGTGTTGAAGGTCTCCCGAGGAGAAACTCTCAAGCTCGATGTGAAGTACAAAGATATCTTCAAAGGCCGCTTTGGATTGTATCATACTCTGGTCGGCGAGAATGGCCAGGAGCTACATGCTCACGTTGACACTGGATCGGGTTTCTTTTATCTCATCTGGAAGAATTGGTTCGAGAAAGCCAGTGGACACCCCTGCAGTACTTGTCCCGTGGGGTGTTACGACTGTCCGAAGGCTTGCTCTGTGGGTAATGTGACGAGAACTGTTGAGTTCCTGGACCATTACACGGTGAAGACGTTTCAGCACAAGTCTAGATTAACCATTGGTCAGGTGTCGCAGATCCTCACTGTCGGACTGATATTCGACCAGAAACCCCCCGTCAGTAAAGTTCCTCCAGCTAACCAAATAGGTCTTGGCTATGATGAAGGTGACGTGAACTTCCCGTCTCTGATGACGCAGTTGCGTTCATCAAAAACTGTCACGACCGAGATCATTGCTCTCTACTTGTATCCTCCCGCTGATCTCAAGCAGGCATCGGCTGATGGAGGCCTACTGCTGGGTGGAGGCGATCCTGCATTATATGAGGGTGCATTGGAGTATGTCGTCTTCTCTTCGGCCGAAGAGTATAGGGTCAATCTTCGCAAGCTATATGTCGGTGTTGGACCTATATATTCTTTATTCAATATGAACCTCGATCTCGACACCGGCGCCAACGCTCTATTCGTTCCAAAATTATACTACATGAATCTCATCAAGGATATTCATGCTGAAACTGTCAAGGCTGCGGGTACGGATGTTGTCTTCGAGTACGACTCAAAAGAGATGCTATGGTCCTTCCCTTGCCAACACATGAGCAAGTTGCCACAGTTGAAGTTCGACTTGGGTCCTGAAGGCATGACTCCATTCACGATGACATACACGAACTATGCCAGGTATCAATATGGCATATGTTTACTTACTATCGCACTAGCCCCAGGGAATGATTGGAGTTTCCATGACCGTATGCTGATCGGTAATTATTTTGAGTTCGATCCTTCTCTCAATCGAGTCGGAATCGGCAAGTTGAAACCCCGATCTCTATAAACGATTCTGTTATTTTGTGGTCTTTAGCATCCACGGTCTACCGTAGCATGGCCTCCATCATCGTTGGTCATTCTACGACCTCTCTCTAAGAAGACCTCCAGCTGGACCCACCATTCTAGTAGCATAGTCCTACATAAAACATTCAGATTCTGAATTTTCGAATTTTAGAAGGAATTCTATGCGGCGAAACATTCGTTTCATCGAGAGATTTTCTATTCGGCCAACGAGCCCGCTATCCGCGGATTAGGATTTACCTTACACATTGGAGCTTCTCGAGTTCATCACGAGTGCATCATATTCCCGAACAAGGAACTTATTTTATCCGCCAAAGTTCAACGACGAGCTTCAAGAGGAGACTGAATCTCTGAGATTCCGATTTCAGTGATTTTCTTACGAATAGGCCCCTAATTTCATGACCAGAGAAGTTGACTTCGCTGATAAGAACATCATCTGCGACAGCTTTTGGTGACCAACAACATACCTTTCATGCTCCCATACCTTTCATAGGTTCCGTATTTGTCATTACTTCGAACCTAAACTCTATCGTGCAACCGCAGTCGAACTTTCAGACAGAATATCCGCAAACTACGTGCGGCTATTGGACAATATCAAGCCCAGTCGACGGGAATTCTTTTTCGAGGTGGGAACTCCCTACTTTTCAGACCGCCTGAATCAGGACTGCTGTCATCTAGAGGTTCTACTACTCTGTGGCCCAAACGGTGCTATACGGCATGTTCTTGGCTTTCCCGAAGTCGCGGATGAGATTCAGCAACGAATTCAGGAAGTCCCTTGTTTCGCTCGTGATGCACTATCAACAGCGTCTTCCGCTCTTCACCCCACGGCTAGGTGCCGTTCCTGAGTTCCCAGACACCTCCCGTTGAAAGCTCGAAGCATCAAGCTCCATCTCGGTGGTGGCGACATATTAGCGATCGTGGCTGGGAGGAGAAGCTTCAACGGTAGTCTCTCTCAAATTGAGAGTCTCAATCAGTACTGAAGGAACTATCCCTGTCGCTGAGCAGAGGTCCCCATCCTCCAAGTGAATTCCCGTGAATTTGACGAGCTTCCGCCGAAATCGCAGGCAAGCGCCAGCCCTCTGTGCTGTCGAATCGAAGAGTGTCAATTTGTCTTAATCGCTCATTAGAACGTCGTTAGAGATGAAGTCTATGCAGCGCTGAGCCCTCAGGGCTCAGCGGAAAGTGCGCCCTCCTCTGAATAAGAGCAAGCCAGATATGCTGAGTTCCGGCAGCTGAACACCATGCAACCTTCGAATTTGAAAGATCGCCTCTCTCAGGGGCTAATGCGCGCCGACGCCGATGGTACACACGGTGTGACTCGCACTGCGAGTCTTAACAGCGCAGAGCTACAGTGCGTGCCAATTTGATATGCAAATGCGATTATTGTGCGTTTTTCTTGAAATTAATGATAATCGCAGATTGATCTCAAGTACAGTCATAGGGCCAGGCTGGCCCGGCCAGCCAGAGTCCATGCGGGTGTTAGACTCAACTCCAAAGCGTGAGTTGTCGCAGTCCAATACCCTTCAGGATAGTAGTATTCGGATACATCGACCTCCCGCCTTCCTCCCCTGGTACCGCTCACAGCCAATAGGTCGTAGGAAAAGTTGGTTTTCATGCAAGACAATGCGCCGTCACACGCCAGCCATCTTATTAGTGATTTTTTTGGTAAGATGAGCTTCGAAGATGATCGTTTGATGACTAGGCCGAGCAATAGTTCCGTTATAAATCCAATACAAAACTATTGGTGGGCTCTAAAGAGGTAAAGATCATCAATATACATCATCAAAGCATTCCTGCACGCTCGTAGACATCTTCGTGTGAGTAGGCGACAGTATGATAGCTTGGAGAGCCTATGGGCTGGCATACAAGATGCAGCTCGTCGCATCACGAGTTCAAAAGTCGAAAGTTGACTCAATCCACGAATCTTCGGGTAGAAAAGATCCTGACAACTAAGGGAGGACATATCGATATGTAGACGCCTGAGTTTCATGTATTTTGATTGAGCTTTGGTTACCTGTATAACACAATCCGAACATACATCACTGGACTGAAGACCCGCAACTTATAGGAAGGTTATAGCTCATAACTCTGTCGGATCAAAACCGAGCACGTCAAGAGAGCACGAACCGCGGTGAGGAGACGGCAACCGCAGGGAGCTAATCGATCCGGCCCGAAAGGGCGCCTTGACGGCCGCACGCGCCAGGTGTCTATCGTCATTGGTACGAATGCCGCAGAAGGAAGGCCCGCCGAAGTCGTGGCCATACAACTCTAACAAACTTGTTCGTCTAACGGGCCGGACTAATTCATCGTGTGGTGCTCAGTAGCTGCTACTGTGTATCGATGCTAACCTAACCAAACCGCATAGTCGGGGGCAGACCTTAGACTTTACCGTGAGCATGTCGCAATCCGCAGTTCGCGGAACTTGGCTGACGGAGGGTTCTGCTACAAAACCACAGAATTTGTGCCGGTAACGGCATTTTTATAGAAATAATTGATAGAAAGTTATTGTGATTTTGTGTGTGTCTCTAGTCTCCATAATTGTGTCCTGGCGTCAAGCTAGTGGACTCAGGTTCATAACTAATTTATTGTTGTGGTTGTTATTGTTTCGGTTATTCCCGACATCATTGAAGTTGCGTAAAGCTCTATTGTGGTATCTACCTTGTCATCAAGTTTATCACTTAGATGATCTAAGTTAGATGATCTAAAGGATCTAAGTTAGATCCTTTGTATACTTCGACGGTTGAGAGTCTTGAGTTGTATTATAACCGTCACAAATTTTGTATCATTCAACTTTCGCGCCAATCCAGTGTCAATCAGCAGCCACTTGAGGCTTTGCGCTCAGATAGCCATTGGAGCGAGTCTGCCGCTACTCCGGCCTCATGGATCCGTCATGGGGAGCAAGTACCGGAGGGGGTGCAGACACGCACCGTGCGTGACGCACGCACTATCGGCAAACTCACTGAGCGTCACTCAGATCCTGTGTACCTGAGTGCCTTTCTCTCATCGGTACTTCTAGGGTCGGTTCCTACACTGTAGGACCTACAGAGCCACCCTACCAGACCGACGCGACCGCGAGTGGGATATTTAATGATCCTCATAGTCTTCTACATGTTGCTCTATGACCCTCTCTGGGTCTTGATCCATTATCAGCTCCTTCTCATTTGTCACGTCTTGGTCTAGCGGCCCACCTGACAGAATACTGTCCTGTTTGAGCGTCAACCTTGTTCAAAGTTAAGTCCTAAATATGTGGCAGGCACATCCATAGTTAGTACTACCGATCTTGAAAGAGGCTCATCCCTCCTACGCAGTCTTCTTCGACACTTGAGTGTCTCTTTACTAGAGTATCGAGCCGCTCCTACGCTACGGAATCTGTAGTCCGAATCGACTCGCGACCACGTTTGGAATCGTTAATCAATATAGTACTACTCGGCCGCCGAACAAATTGACAATTTTGGAACAATACAAATCGCTGGGAGTACGCGAAACATTGGGACATTGAGGGCTCTGAGACTCCTCAGCGGAGAGTCCGATTCTCCGCTGAGGGGTTGTGCAATTTACACTGTGCAATTCGGAATAGAATCTGTTTAATAGATGTCGGTTCAGAGGAAGGCTTCCTCAGGAAGCTGTAGGGTCAACCCGCCGGGGTGGTTATGGTAAGTGTGTGAGAGAAATAGAAAACTAACAGGTACCTTCACGGTAGGGGAAGTTTGATTGGGAAGAAACTTGCCTGGAATTAGGAAGCGCAATATTCCCCGGTCCTGTAAGCTTGAGAAAGACAACAAGTCAAATTGACTTAGTTAATTAAGTTAACATTGCTAGCAAGACAACAACTTATTCCTGAGGGCAGATCTCGTCAATCTCCTCCTCGAGTTGTCCGCTACAGTGCAACGCACTGAGTGCGTTACGCACTGTGCGTAAGCCATGTATTGATGAGCACCACCTCTGAGGTGGCACCTCAGTGAGCTGGCTTCACTTCGATCATGGATAAACTCGGGCGGCTTGCTAGGAAGTTTCTAGTAGGAACTGGTCAAGGAGCGCGCGCCTAACGCGCAAAAAAAACTCAGTTGCATGCAATTACAATTTAAACTCCCTAGCAGCGTAGAGTGGAGAACGCTTAGTCTTACAGACTTTGAAACTCGACACCACGTTAGTTAAATATCAAATTAGGGTCTTACTCCAAGGCAGATAGTGAGTGTAGCTGAAGAGTAGAGGGGGTTTGTCTACATCGCAGTGCTCGTCAGTTGAAGAAATAAACTACAACCGGCAAGTGCACAACCGGCAAGTGCACAGCCGGCAAGTGTTCAGTCACTATAAGAACTACCTAGGCGGTACTATAGTGCTCCGCTACTCAAGCAAAAGAATATGTATATCACTATCAATATTTGGTCTTAATAATATTCACAATAGCTTTAATAGCTCAAATTGTGCGACTTATCGCACCACTCAGCTATTGTGTTTTCCATTCAGTCCAGTTGTGTGGCTTCTCGCCATACTTTTGCCCCTGGGCTCGTTTAAACGCCACTTCTGCTATGCAGAGCTCAACTGCAATTTTAGCAATTGCACAGATGTAGGATTGCAATTGTAATTTGTACAAACCCTAGTTTCCACAGGATTGCAAACGTCAGAAGACGTCCTGAATACGGGCGTGCTACGAATAGGATCGCTCCTGTTGGGTTCAGTGAGACCTCCGCGCAAACCTATTGGCATGCACCAGCTTAGAGCACAATCGTGACGACGTCTGCAGACCCAGGCAATGACGTAAGGCATCGCCATGCCGCACGCTTGCATGATGCAAGCACGCATCGAAGTTGTATCGACGTGAGAAACGAATAATATTAATAATATTATATTATTATATTATGTCCAAAACAACGACATATGGTGACGTGTATTGCCGTATTACGGCTAATTTGTATTAACAGAAACTATGAGTCACATAATGTGACTCACATTGGCGAGTCGGACGATCGAATGAGTTGTCGCGTC